CTATGTTCCTCTAAAACTCAAATACAGCCATCTTTCTAAGGGGGAACCAAATGCTACCCACCCACCCAAACCTTTAATACAAACCACCAATCCCTATCCGTCTTCTGGACTCTTATGTGCTCTCTTATTCTCAGTATTGAGTTAAACCTACCTTTTACCTCGATCCTCTGTACACACATCACACCTTCCAGCATTGAGTTTTCCTGACGACAAGAACTTCCTGCTCAACAATTAAGCTGTGTCTGTTTTTATTCAAGACAATTAAAGTGAATGCACTCTCTAGGCTTTCTGTTTTCAATTAAGCAAAAGGGATAATAAAATCATTAAAGTTTACCAAGAAGAAAAGAAGTGTGTGTATACACTATATATACAATTTAAACACCAAGAAATCAATATAAAAAGATATCATAAGATGTGTAAGATTAACTTTCTGGCATAAAGCATTTTCAAACTTCCCTTCCTCTCTCCAATGAATTCCAGAAAGTCACTTCACATGTTAAGTCTAACACTTTTAAATCACTCATATATTAATGACTTCATCCATAAAATATATCCAGATCTTACACTTATTTCCTGTATACTAATTGTTATTCATCATCATAAAAATAGAAAAGCCAGAGTATCCTATAAATCACTAAAGATATCTACTTCAAAATCAAACTATGAAGATTACTGATTGCCTACTTCATTAATTCAACAGCATTAAGTACTTACTATGCATATATAAATTAGTATAACTATATAATGCAGATCACAAAAACATGACCCACACAATAGTCAATGACCAAGCACTATATATGATTACCTAGAAAAGGACCAGGCTACAAGTGGGACATTTGGGGAAGAGGATGCGATCTGGGATCTGGCTGTCATGCTTATGTTGGGTAGTAGGGATGTGAATGAGAATGCAAGAGACTAATCTAAGAGGACTACACTAATGTCCTGGTTGGCCATCCCACTCTTCCAACCAGCAATTTTTGTTGTTGGTCAGGCCAAAAACTGGAGTCATCTTTAGTGACTCTTTGCTCTTATAGGCCACATCCAGTCTCTCAGAAAAGCCTGACTGCACACCTTTACCACACATTCAGGATGGGACCTCTCCTCACACCTCCACTGTCTTCACCTCAGCTCTCACCCAGGTTAAGGGAGGGGTCTCCTATTGGCTTCCTGCTTACATTTGCTCTGTCACTCATTCATTCTATTCTCATACAATATGTACATAGTCTTATTAAAATGTCCAGGGGGATGTCGTCTCTTGGCTCAAAATCCTGCAATATCTTCTGTCTCACTTGAACTTTTATTCTAAGTCCTAACAATGACCCACAAAGCCTTAGAAATTAACTTGCTATGACCTCCTCTCCTCCTAGAATCCCCTTATATCCAATCCCCTTATATCCCCTTATATACCTGCTTGCTGTTTCTCAACCTGGCATGCCCACCCCCACCCCAAGGCTTAGTTCTGGCTGTACTTCTGCCTGAAAAGCTCTCCTCCCAGATACCTGTTTGGATAACTCCATCACTCCTTCAAGTCAGCCTAAAACTCATCTCAACAAGATCTATTTTGACCAAACTTTATATTACTTCATCCTGCCTCCCAAGCCTTTTTTTTTTCCTGCTTCACCTTATTTTCCCTAAACACACCCCACACTCCAATATACATTATAATTTACTCACTGTGCTGGTTTTCATTTAGTGTCCCTACCCAGCTAGATCGAAAGCTCAAGGGTGGTGATCTTTAAGTAGGCCGCTGACACAGTCCTAACATCTTTACTGCTGTCTGGACTATGCTGGGCACTTAAATATTTGTTCTTATAGTAAAATCAGGTTTAAATCTGTGAATAGATTATCTATGAATAAGTCTAATAATTTTTAGCATCCCTCCCTAACCAGTCTTATTTTCTGCTAAATAACAAAATCTTTCGGCAGAAAAGGAACAGTCAAATCACAAGGAGAGATAAAGTACTAAGAAAAGGATGGAATGGACAATGACTAAAGTTTAATCAAATGTATATATAAATTAACCAGATTATTTTTACTTTGGAAAGAGACAGCATTTAGAACTCAAAAGGAAGCTCACTTTGCAGGAGGTTAAAAAAATGTATCTTTTTGGCGGCCTTATTAATTCCATCCCCCACATGGATCACAGAAGGTGCTCCAGCTGTCCACTACACTGTCAGAACACTGGGGGCCCCTCAGCAGCAGCAGAAGGCCAGGTATTAATCACTTTTACACTGGAAACACCTAAGACAGTTTGCTGAAACAAACTAGAAGTGTGTAAATGTTCTTTTACATCAGTTCACAAAGGATTCTCATGCTTCCAGCTTAGTCACATACACAGATAAATCACTGTTGAAAGCAGCCTGAAACAAAGTCCAAATGTTGACTACATAATTGTTATTTTATTTCAATGCAGAAATTGTGCTATCAAAAAAAATCAACCAACAAAATAGTATCTAGGAAATCATCAACCTCTCATTTACAGATGATGAAAATAAAGACCAGAAATGTTGAATTGATGTGTCCAGAACAAAGGTAACTTGGAAGAACAGAAAGGCTGGCAAGAATTCTCATGAATTTTTTAATGTGAACAACAACAACAAAGTGATCACAACACCTGTATTTATCTTTCTGTTACCATTAATTACTTCTGGTATGCAATATAGGACAACCTGACTAAAAATAAGAGTATCTCACTGCTATACTAATGATTCCTTGGGCTTTGTACTTTCACCTGAAATTCCAGGGGTAAGAGGCTGCTGGTAGGATAAGATTACTGGAGTCATCTTTTAATGGAAGGTGCCTCCCATTTTAAAAGCACCTTTCTACCTTTTTAAAATTAAACACTTAATGAGTAGTGACTATGAATCACAACATTTAATCTTCATGAGGACTCTGTGAGGAAGTGTTTCCACTTAGCCAATGAGAGAACTGAAACTTACAGAGGTCAGGATAACCCATTAGAAATTCTTCCACTCTGCCGTCCATGCACTGGACCACCAGACCTCTCATTGGACCACAGATGAGCCTGCTCCTACACAGAGGACAACACGTACACCAGACTACTCGGCTAACTCAGCTCTCTTGTCAAATCCAAGCCACCTCACCTCCACTATGCAGCCTAGGATCTCTAAGAGCAAACTGTCCCCTATCCCTGACTCTCAGCAACATGCACACATTACTATTGCACTAGTCCAAGAACTCACTGAGGCTCAGACAGTGCTAGCCACTTCTCCAGAATCTAGTGTGTGCTGTCAAAACGTGAGGTGGCAAGTGGTACAAGTCCATCAAACAGAGCTAAGTATTACTCTCCCATTTTATTGGTGGTAATCATTTAATGATATAAATGGAGCTTCACAAACAGATGGCACATTAAATCTAATTTGGTATTAAACTTTAATTTACACATGCTTACAAATAAATGATTTTTTTATTCTGACCCCAAAAAAAAGGAACGTAGTTTAAGGGAAGTGTTATGCTTTTAAGTAAATCACAGAATTTCGCAAATCTCTGGATGCCACCGTCATGTGTGGAAATCCTAAAATAGACAAGAACAACCTTTCTCAAAAAAGAGGAAAGTCCAATGGAGCCCAATGGTGCTAAGGTTCCTGAGAGAGCTGGAGTAGAAGCGCAAATCTGTCTCTGCCTCATTTCAGTTCTGCTGCATTCAGTTTATCAGTCTGGGCTTCCAGTTTCATTTGGAGAAGGGATGCACTGCTCAAAACAGAAATCTAGACACCACTAGCAAGACACCAACCTAGCTTCCTCACCAAGACTGCCCCAGCCAGTCACATTAACCAAGAAACTGAGTCCTCTATTTCAAAAGCCCCAAAAGTTACTTCAGTTCTACTGAGAAAATACAAAAGTGACCAAAGGTTACACAGCTGGAGGCGAGTCTTGAGTCTCCAGTAGAGTAGACTTGAAAGCCTCCTTACAACCCTGCCTTACCTTGGGTGCCCTGCAGGGATACTGGCTATCTTTAATTAATACCTGAGGGACAGAATACAGTGGTGAAATTCTACCCAGCAGGACTGATAAGCCCACTACCCATGTACCATTCTTGAGGTACTGGGCTACTTTTTTTGCTGAAAATGCGCTCCACCTGGAACATTTAGAGAGCAAAGAAATAGATTGTTTGCTTAATTTAAAAGTACAGAAAACAGAACTGCCTGTTTATTTACCTAATCCCGCCCCTCTGCTTCACAAGGCTCAATCTAGGTAGGCTTTACCAACAAATCAATTAACATGACTGTATATCCTTACTTTGGAATAAAGCAATTTGACTTTAGGTGACTCATTCCAGCCATCTAGCCCATATTCATAAACAATGATGAAAAATATTTCTCAAAAAATAAGTTTTATAGACTTTCCCCTTTGCAATATTCCCTGATAGAAATGTAAAACTTAAACCATAATGATTTGTTGCCATCCAGATTTAGCTTTACTAAATTTTAGAAACTAAACATATCTTTGGAAACAAAATGGAATATCCTATGAAATCGATAGTAAAATATATTCTATATATTATCCCAAACTCAAGAGCAATAGCATTATGAAGACACACTGTAGGCCATGGTAATAAAAATTGAAAAGATAAAATGCTACCATATCAATAAAAGGGGTTCCAGGTCAGTGACAGACCTGTGCATACGGCATACCTCCACACCAGCTACCTATAAACAAAAAATTTAAGGACTCCTATTAGGTCAAAGTAAAATACAAATGAAAATTCAAATAAATTCTGAATTATCATCTAACATACTGCAGACTACAGCAAAAAATATTCTTCCCAACTCTACTTCATTAATTTAAACAGGCCTGTTTATCTAGGACTCCGTTAGTTGGTTTAAAAAAAAATAGAACTCTGGACTCCTCTTTTCACTGAAGGAACCATATGGCTTTCTTTACTTTTGCTAAGTACTGCATTAAACCCTTTATTACTGAATGATGGTTTCAGTATTGAGTAGAGCTAGAAAAAACCCAGCCCATCATATTAAGAGTACCTGGGTTTCCCACTCTCATTCTGTAGTTGGATCCCCACCAGGATGACCTCGGAAGTCCAATGTGGACCAGTGTGTCTTCTGAGACATAAGTGCAGGCCGCAGACAGATGGGCCCACTGACACCGACGACCTCTGCTCCTGTGGAAGCTCCCCGGAAGTTCTGTAACAAGGCATTTAGCAGAAACTGCTCCTTCTAGCCCACCCCGTTTTTTGCTAATTAAGTCTATGTGGGAGAGAAGAGATGGTGTGAGATGACCAGGAATGTACAATAAAAGATCATTTGCAGGAGAAACTTGAAGCAGGGTTGATGTCTTACCTATAGCTATCTATCTGAAGCAGTGCTGTCCAACACAACTCTGAGCAACACTGGAAACGTTTCCCACCGCTGTTGTCCAACATGCCTGCCACTAGCTATTTAAGCTTGATGTATGGCCAGTGTGACTGAGGAACTGAATTTTTCACCCTGTTTAATTTTAACTTACCACATGGGGCTCATGGATAGATACAGCCCTGAATAGCACGGGTCTAGAACACTTTAAAAGCTAACTAATCACAACAGGCCTCAGATAAGAAATAGACTCAGAGGAGCCTAATGGTGCTTTCCTTTCCTCTAAGAATTAAAGAAAAAAAACTCTATTTAACTTTCCCTAATTGCTTTAGTAATTAAAAGGTACTTTAGAATCATGTTCTTTCTCGGTACAGGTCTCCGAATTATGATCAGAACATACAAAATGTCAAAGCAGTGAAAAATTGCTTTTTTCTTAAATATCGTTTTCTTTTGAGCCCTGCCTGAGAGGTAAAATAATTATACCGAAAATTTTTAATTAAAAAAAATTTTTCCTAAATTGAAATATGGACCAAATACAAAAGACTGGTAAAACTGCTTAAAGATTTTTATTTGTCCTTTTTGTTGTTGCTATCTTCTCAAAAGTCACAGTCAAGACTTCTGGTAGAACTGTACTTTTGAGACTTTAGAGAAAGGGGAAAAAAATCAACCAGTAAACAAACTCCCAAGTGCTCAGACTGAAAATGAGCCATTCCAACAGCAACTGCAGAGTTGGGTTAGGGGGAGGGGGGAAAGTCAAGCTGCTCTGCACACCCACAAGTCCTGAACATGCACAAAGAGCTTTACCCAGGCTTATGGTACTCACTTCCTGTGCACTCCTAAAAATTGCCAACACCAGCATCCTTAATAAATACTGGTTGTGAGCAAATCTTTCAGCCTTATGTATCACACACTTTAGCTTTAAATGGTAGTACATTCTGAAGCCATGTCATCTAGGGACACAGCTCTCTGCACATTACACACCAAGGCGACAGCAGAAACAAACTATACTGAATGAGTATCAATGGGTGCTCTAGTTGCTGCGGATTATGTTTAGTGCTTTTGAATACGTTTAAACTACATAAAATGACACTGCTATTAATAAAGAAGGTTTTTTAAATCCCAAGCAACTGGAGACAATTCTTCTAAGATTAAAACAATAAAATGGATGTTGTAAGGCTCAGTAAACTGTAAGTCCTTAGGAAAAACACTGTGTCTTTTCTAATACAACAACAGGGCAATAGATAAAGATGAGTAGGAGGCACAAATGACAATAATAGGAAGCTGGGAGATAGATCTTTTTCAAATGGCAAGGAGATCAAGAGATGGAGGGAGGGGGCAAAGAGAGGAGGAAAATGGGATGTTAAAAGGAACAGGGATGTGTGTACACGTACCAACGCTACACAACGAATGGAAACATGTACTGCAAACGTACTAGTAAAAAAAAAGATGGTGGAGTAAGTTTAATAAAGTAAGTATCAGATTTTTAAAAACAGTGAATAAAATGATACCCATTTGAAGTAAATAGCTCACCTGTATGGGGCTGCAAGCACTTATATTTGGTTCTGTCCTCTTTCAACTATTTACTAACGATTTGCATAAACTCAGAAATAGGTAAACAGGCAGCCAGCATGAGACCAGAATGATCTAATTCAAAGGAATTTAAATGTTAATGTTCTGCATTAGAAACTCAAAAAGTCAGGGCTGGGGATTTAGCTCTGTGGTTCACAGCCTGCTTTACAAGCAAGCACAAGGTCCTGAGTTCGACTCCGATACCCCCCCCAAAAAAAGAAATTCAAAAAGTCAGTTTCACCAGCACCAGCCAAAAAGTCAAGGATTCATTAGAAAAAATACATGAAGAATGTAGATGTAAGCTTAATACAGGCCAACAGCAATATTAGTGCTCAAAAAAAGCTAATTCCATCTTGGCATTCATTTATGAATTGTAAACTGCCAAGTTACTATTCTCTACTAAAATTAGTTTGGTAGATTCAGTAGATGTTCAGGGTACTGCAATTTTTGACATCAGCAAGAACAGATCCAAGACATTTGGAACACATCCCCTCCCACCGGAACTAAGAGTTAGAGACCTAGTCACACTTGGAAGGAGGAGGGAAGCAGAAAGGAAGGAAGTGAAAACGAGATTGTTGGCGCCAAATGTCTGAAGGCCTGACGTGTCCAGGAACAGATTATTCTGTGTGGTTCCAAGAAACAGAAAGACAACCAAGGGACAAATGTTAGTACGATACAAGAAAGAAGAGTCAAAGATCAGTAATTTCATAAATGGACCGGCCCAACCTGGAGAGACAATGAGCACATCACAAATGCCAGACCTGGTAATCCGAGGTGTCCATCAGCAGGGTGTCAGCCTAGCTGACTTCCTCCCCACCTTCCCCTTGCCGGACTTTCACCTCCTCCTTCTCTCTCAATCAAATGACGCACTGCATCAGAACGCACATTAGTGACTAATATTAGGTCAGACATTACTGCTATAATTGTTAAAAAAAAAAAACAACTCAAACTTATAGTTACAGTGTTCTACCAAAAGTTAAGAACACTAAAAACTACAGCATACTGATAGTGGGATGGCTAACGGAGGTAACAAAAACCTGCTCTCAGACCCAACATTCAGGTACTACGCATTCATATTCCCCACACTATTTTTGTAAACAACATCCTTATTTCAGATTCCAAACTAAAAATGATGAAGCTCCTGGAAGGTGAGTGGGCCTTTTACCTTATTTTACAGGTGCTGCACACAAAAAGTCTATGTAGGAAGTTGTTATACTGCCTCAGCTCAGAGAAATGATCCCACTTACCTTACTAAAGCAGGGATTAAAGTGCTAGAGACAATAGATGCATAACAAGATTTGAGACCCCTAAATCTACCCTAGTCATAAAACTACAGATCTGAGCAGCTCATTGCCCAGCCATTCAAATTCTAAAATGATAATATTGTTATAAAACACTTTTCTGAAGAGCACTCATTCCCTGCCTAGAAGGTATAGTAAGGAGGAAGCTACCAGTTCAATGACCCACTGTACACGCACGCTAAGGGAAGGCCTAGCCATCCACATCCCTGCCCGACTCCTGGACTCTGGCAAAGTCATCACTTGGAGCCTGGAATAATGCATTCCACACCACCTGCTCTGCAGGCCAGGCTTTACCTTTCTGAACATGGATGATGTCCGGGAAGTTGGCCAGGTGCCCCTGATACAGCGCTAACAGGTCCATGACCGGGTCCAGGTCTTGCCTGGGCTGCTCGGCGAAGAGCTCACCAATGGCGTCGTAGGCATCTCCGGTGAAGGCGATGGCCTTGTTCAGGCCCACGGAGAAGGCCTGCTGGTCCAGCTCAAAGGCCTGGCTAAGGCCGCGGAAGGATTGGCCCACCTTCTGATACTCCTTCTTGAAGCCTGTCACCTGCTTGCGCGCGAACTCGTTGGCTGTGTGGTTGAGTTGCAGTGCACTATCGTCCATCTTCTTGGTGAAGCACTTGAAGCCATCGATCTTGCTCTCCACCTCCTGCAAATCCAGGGCGGCGGCAGGGGGCGTGCTCAGTGTCAGGAAGAAGTTGGCACCCACCATCTCGTCCTTCTCAGCCTTCCTCTTGCCCTGTTTCCAGGCTTTCTCATCAGTGCTGCTGGGGCACGTCAGGAAATGCTGGAAAACGTCACACTGGGCCAGCACCGGATGGCTGGCCATGTGGTTCATCCACCAGATCAGGCCCTTCCTGCGCTTGGAGATGAAGTCCTCCTCAAAGCGGCCCGTGGCCTGCTTTTCGGGCAGATGGGGCACCGAGATAACCGGGAACTTCTCAGCCAGGCGCGCATACAGCCAATCGAAATGCTTGTAGCGCCGGTGCACCGGCACCTGCGTGTGCGTGGGCACCAGCTTGTACGAGATATAGCTCTTCATGCCCTTGAACTTGGTCTGCTTGGTGGGGTCGTCGATGGTGCACTGGAACGGGTAGGGGTTCTCCTGCCACTCGGGGCCATAGGGCCCCAGGACCACGCACAGCTTGTCCCCATCCTTCACGAAGCCC